GGAGGCTGAGGCAGGAGAATCGCTCGAACCAGGGAGTCAGAGGTTGCAGTGAGCCGAGATTGCACTGCTGCACTCCAGCCTGGTAATAGAGTGAGACTCCATCTCAAAAAAACAATAAGCAGTAGATAGACAACTATGGCTGTTGAGGTTCTCTTTTTGGTTTGTTTTAATTTTTTGAACTTTAATCTTTGGGTACCTATAATTAGTTTAAAAATAAAGCACCTGATAATAAATTGACTCAAAATGGCATCCTCAAAGTGTCTCCATGTGTTTGGTGATTTTTAGATAGGCCTCTAAACTAGTCTTTGACTCATATTTTCCTGTAACACACAAAAAATTGCACTTATTTCAACATAACAGACACTCATGATTTTCTGTATATTGAAGCACGAGGCAGGGAAGGTAGCATATAATGCATGTAATTTTATTCACATGAGCAGAAGGAATGGTATACTGGAAATTGTGACATAAATTTGTTGTTCATTAACTGAGGGCAAAAGATTATGGTATGTAGCACAGCGCAGTCAGGGTAGGCCAGACACAACTGATTGCTTATCCGTCTTAATGACACTCTTCCACACTTTGTTTTTAGATGCTGTGGGTATGTAAGTCATCATTTCTTTAAGCTGTTGACTCTGTTTCAAAGCAGGTCACATGCGTTTCAATGATAAAGTCAGGTAAAACATTTGTAGCTGTAATATCTGTTACAGATATTTATCATTTTTTCATGATTTTTCATTGGTGGATTAGTTTATTTGTATCCACTGTATAGTAAAATTGGCATTTGAAGAATATGAATTTTAAGTATTTTTGCTACTGCATGGTCTCCATTTGATTATCAGTGCAAAACTTTCAGAGATTAGCCAAAGAAGATGGCTGAAAGGACGAGATGAACCTGCTTTTCCTGCAGCTGGCCACATCTGTCATGCATAAGGACATGGAATGTGGGTGCTTTACATTTATTACCTACTATTGGTTTCTCTAGTGTAGCCCCTTCATTTTAGTGGTGTTGATTAACCAAGTAATACTCCAGAATTCAAATATCAGGGTCAAGAATGCAACTACCAGATCTTCCTATTATTCCAAACCTGTGGCAAGGCTGTAACTCACACCATTTCGAAATAGCATCATCTCTGAAACTGGCCTTTGAGTTTTCCAGCCCAAGGAGTGACCACGTCTTAATGCACTTCAAGATCCTAGAGTTGGATTCTTCCATTGTCCTGCGTCTAAGTATCTACTTGCAGGGAACCTTCTGGCAGCATCATGTGCTCTGCACACAAAAGCAACTGTCATATCCAGCCACTTTAGAATCTCTCAGGCGTCCCGCGAAAGGGATGATTTTTGCTCATACAGTACTCTATGATACAATTTGGTCTTACAGTTTTTGAGATCTTGGCCGAAAAAATAGATGTGAACAGAAGGGATTTTTTTTTTAATGTCATGTAAAATTAGTTAACTCCAGCACTTCAACCTTAGGATTATCTATTGAACCTGTTTGCTTTGTATTAACAGTTTATCCAGAATGTCTGATTCAGGAATCTTGAAGGCTACCTATTCTCTCCCCTAATCTTGGTGTCCTTCTGTTCTGAGAAGGAAATTAGGGATTTATTTTCTCCAAAAAGAAGGGATGACAATGAGCAGCCCAGCCATAGTGGTGGCTCATGCTTGTAATCCCAGCACTTTGGGAGGCTGAGGCAGGAGGATTGCTTGAGACGAGAAATTCGAAACCAGCCTGGGCAACATAGCAAGACTTTTCTTTAAACAAAAAAAAAAAAAAAAAACTCCGTCTCAAAAAAAAAAAAAAAAAAAAATTATAAAAAAAAAAAAAAAAAAAAAAAAAGAGAAAAAAAGGTGACAGCCTATTTAGGAATTAGGTCCTTGAAGGGGGCAGCCTACCCTGCTGCCAGTTTAGGCTTTCCCTGGGGCCAGCTATGCGTGTCTCCTCTGCCCAGGCTGAGATGATTGTCCCATGCAGGTCAGTGTGGCAAGATAAAGACAATAGCAGCCTCAGCTGCTCCCAGAGTTTTAACTTTTAAAAAGCCTCTCAGACTAGTACTGTATCCCAGTACACTGAGAATGGTTTTTCTAAAAGACCAGCTCTGTATCAGAAGAGAGGATTTTGCATAGTCTAGTACCAATATGGGCACCAAATTAACCAATGTATCCTTGGTTAGAATACATTATATCTAATGTATTTTTCCTTGATAAGGTGTGCAAGAAAGATGACTGTGATGATCTATTTCCAAGCTCAACCAGACTCTTTTGCCCAACATTTGCAAGTGATTTCTCATCCCAGATTATGACCACTTTTATTAAAATGCAGTTCCCAATGTGTACATTAATAGCACTGTTTATTTTTCTCCTGGCCTGGGAAGGCTCACCATGCCCTATAGCTTTATGGAGTATGATGTTTCTGTTTTGGTTTTGGTAAGAGTGTGAGTCTGTTGCAGCCAATTTCTGTCTGATTGTAATTAACCACCTTGGTGGCAGAAAGCAACAATCCCCCCCAGTCATGTTACACCACCCATCGATTCCCCAGGAAAGAAAGAGGTCAGAGATGAAGTACTCTTTCCCTGCTCTCTGCTGTGTAGCTGTAGTTATTTTCCCAGCACCTTACTGTTTTTGACAAAATTGAGTTGGGGGAAACAGCTTTACTAGACAGAAGATTCATCATGCCCTCAGTGTCATTTCAAATTTATTTTGATGCTTTCATAAGTAACAGGTAGGACTCTCTTCAAAGTTCACCTTCCCTGCCACCTGCAAAGCCTTTCACACGTTCTCATTTCCTCAGAAAGACTCCCAAATTGCCTCAGCCTGGCAGATCCTGATCATGTTTCCTGGTTTTGTCTCTTGTATCACTGGGATCTGCAAGTTTGGGGCTCGCTCACATAACGCCCTTTGCTGTTAAATCCTGCCTCACCTCATGGCAGATCTGGCGGTGGTAGATGCCATGCTCTGCTGGAGCCCAAGGGTTTTCACACCGAACTATGAGGGGAATTTAAACTGCTGATCCCAAGGGAATAAACACCCGACACATAGAATACTTTAGCCATCCAATCTCTCTCTGATGACAAAATTATTTAGCAAAGCTCAAGACAGAAATGAAGTCACTCTTTTTCCACAGTTGTTGATGTTTTGTTTCCTGGAGGGTTATCTAGCTGCATAGTCTAGCCTTTAAGACCCTGGGACCTAAAGTTGTCCCCCAGATTTATTGTAGGTTACTTTGGCAAGTTTTTAAAGGTAAGCTAAAGTGTTGTCACCACTTCCTAGGTACACATAAGAGAGCCACGCCTTACTTGCCTTTTGAGTCGAGGCTGGCCATGTAAGCTTATTGCACTTACCCTGATTTGACAGGGATACATTTTTAAGATGTTATAAATATTGTAAACATTCATAAAAATAGAGAGTATAAATAGCACAAAGATGCCCCTCACCCAGCTACCCAGATCTTTAACTTATGACCACCATTAGGTACCTTCTCAGTCTCACCTCACACCTGCTCCACTGGATTATTTTGAAATCCATGACAAATGTCAAACAGGATAGATTTTGGAAAGGAAAACAGCATAGATAGTCTTCGATTCATTAAAATGAAAGTTATCAGTAATCTGTTCTGAGCTTTGACCTTTTTGGTACTCTAGAGAAACAGCAGCTATTGCAAAGCTGTTCAATTGAATTTTGACTTGTATATAATCTGTATTATCCCTAGTTGCTGTTTAGAAGCCTGTTAGCTTGCTATGTGTAACTTTTGTAAGATGACGTGGGAAAATTTGGTACCCTATGATGTTAAATTCAAGTGCGTTGCTGAAACTATTTTTAATATGTAATTCTGAAACCTGTAGCATTAAAAATGAGTAACTGTATTAATGTTGTGAGTGAGATTACTCACTATGGGAGAAGAAAGATACAGAATGGAGGAAGGTAAAGAAGGACCCTGTGCTATTGGTTCTGGATGGGAGGTGTTTGTGTGAAAAAATGTGTCCTTGCGTGCGTGCGTGCGTGCGTGTGTATGTATTTTCCACTCTTTCCCCCAAGCCCCTCCCCACTAACTCTGGCTCTGTCCTCTGAAAGGGCCTAGAAACCGTAACCTGGAAACAATAAGCACACCAGATTCCTTCAATCTTGGTTCCTAAACACTATTCCACAGAAGCAGTGATGTTTGGGGAAATGCCTGCTTCCAGGTTTGAGACAATGAAACATGAGGTGAACTTTGAGCACTTTTGTGTTTTCTAACTCATCAAGATGTTACAAGACTGATGGGACACAAACATTTGCTTGAAGGACCAAATTTAGGACAATTTGAGATTAGAAAAAGAATGATGGTAATGAATTACAGAACATTGAATTAAAAAAATAGTGCCTAAGACAATAAAGGTATTTTTTAAATACCTTTATATTAAAAAGGGGGGGGAGAGAAAAAGGAGACAAAAATACATACTGTTTCTTTACAGAAGATTGCCAGCTTCAATTGTTAATAATGGATCCAAGCAGGAACTATCAGTAGATGCTAAAACCATTGGGCTTTTAGAGAACTAAATGTTTGTATAGTCTAAAATCATAATAAACTTATTAATTACAAGGAAAAACGTATCTTCACAATGGAGAGATCCATTAGACACTACTGCAACCAAGTGATTAACCTTAAAATCACCAATAAATGGGACAAATAGATATTATGTGATTTTATGCATGTCCTTGTGTAAGTAAGTCAGAAGTACCTATCGCTTACTTTTCTTCCCAAAAACTTTTTATCTAAATCTAATAATGGGAAAGCAATAGGAAACATTAAAAATACAAGATATCCTAAAAGACACCTGGCTTGGGCTTTAAAAAAATACCAAGGCTAAGAAATAAACATAAAAATCTGATGGGACAGTTGCAGATTAAATGACACTATAGGGCCATGACA